CACTTCCAAAAAATGTCTCAAATTCAGAAACTCCTTTCTGAAAAAGGAAAACCAATGCTCCTCCACAAAAGTTAAAAATGAATTAATTGATCAATCTCACATGTTTGAAAAAAAAAGTAATTAAGAACGATATCGACATATTGATCGCAACGATATTGTTCTCGACGAACAGAACGAAAGAAAATATTCTGCGACGAATTGATCGGTCACCTTTCAATCAAGATGATGCTCATTTGATGAGTACTAGAGAATGATAGAAAAGTTTAGAATGGTTTGGTTTTTCAATAAAAAAAAATATTGTGGTTACCGTCAAGTCACATGGAAAATCAACTTTCGAGTTTTGACGTCAAACTTTACATGGATAGAGGTCTCAATAAGATTAATTCATTGGATAAATTGTAACTATTCTAGTATCTCCTATCCTGAGATATTCATTATTCTTTCATATGTAATACGAAACTTTGTTCCTACAAAGTTAAACTCGAAAGTCGATTTTCCGTATGAAATGAGGAGAATCACAATTCGTTCTTTGTTGAAAAATCAAGTAAAATTTCGCTATTTAGAGAATAAAATCGAATTTTTGGATTCCGAAAACTTTTCTTCTATTTTTATAAAATTGAGCTAATCTCTTAGAATGATCTCCAAGAATCCTGTAATTTTATTAGGTTGTATCGTCACGATTGCATTTCTTTTTTCTTGATCAATAAAAAGTTTCAAATAAATAGATCGTCTATATCTATGTACACAGAAAGATTAGCAATGCGTATTGTAAATTTAAAAAATCACAGACTATTGAATTTCGAACTGAGATCAACAGATTTTAACCAAGGGATTAAAAATCTTTTCGATAGAGAATATAAAGTAGTAGATAGGATATAGCTAGAAATGAAATAATCTTAATTTAGTTTGAATATAAGTTGCTTTTTTTGTGAGAGTGATGAATTTTTTTTTAATATATAAGTAAATGCTGAATGACAAAAAGATCGGTTTGAAAAAATAAAATCAGCAAAAAGATTTTATTAGCATCATAGAAAAATAATACTCAGATAGGGTTCAAAAATGAATTAACAAGCTATTCAAGGACAACAAACATTATATATGAGTATAAATACGAATGTTTAGTAAGATTAACGATGAAAAAGTACGACACTTCATGCAGCACTCGTACTTTCTAAGTACTGAAGTGGTACTTTTTTTTTCTCTTGAGTTAACTCTTATAATTGAATATGAAGCCATACATGAGAGAGTGATAAGTAGTTGATTTAAAAATTCTGCATAATTCATATAATTTATTCTTATTTTATGGCTTCTATTTGTTGTTGATATTTTGTCATTTCGGGAACTTTTCAATAAACTTAAAAGGTGAATATCAACATTATCCTCATATGATGCTGTGCATCATTGAAGCACATGTCTAAGAATTGAGGTTTGTAAGAAGTGAAATAGGAATTACGCTTCTGTCAAACATATGCTTCATTAACTATCGCCTTCTTAATTTTTTTGCATACTATTCTCAAGTAATGCTAGACTATCTATTGTAAAAATGTCAACTTATTTCCTTCTGTTTTTATGTAGATCGATAAAAACCAGAAGCCATAAAATGTTGATCTTTTTCTTAGTGTATATATATCAAATAAGAAAAACAAAAAAGCGACGAAAAAATAGAGAAAGATCTATTTTTCATTTATCATGGTATGTCTGGAGCGATACATAGAACAAAACCATAACCATTTGCAATGTCGAAAAGCAAGACAATATATTTGTGTCAGGCAAAATTAAACAGAGTATAAAAGTACTTCATCGTAAAATTAATCTAATATTGAAATTTAATTGATCTCACAAAGTTGTAGAGTTCACCAATGTACTTGATGAAATTTATTTCAGTTTAAGAACCTACAGTTTTTGCCTCGACCAAAAAAAGGAAGGAAGGACTTTTTTAAGGTTGCGATTGTGTTTATTCTAAATCACATATTCATCATTTGATTGAAACACATCTATCTTACTTACAGCTACAGAAAATACTCATCCGACCAAAAAAGAAGAATTTAATGATTAAGATTTATTCTCAGTCTGTTTCAGAGCAGATGGTTGGAAGACGAGCAAAGATTATGCCAATTTGTTTTTAATCTGTTTCAAACTACGATAACTTTCATAATCGAATCTCTATGATATGTATAGAGCAGGGAGTAGGGAAAAAAGGAGAAAGTATACAATTATTTTCAATCTGTTATAAATTAGCACTTACTACCAAATTTTTGTGAAAGATTTCGTTTAACAGAATTTTATTTTGTTAATAAAATTTTTTATTTTCTAATATTTCGGGCATTCTGAACTCAACTCAATTCTTACCTCAACTGTGACATATACACAGTAACTATATTTAAAGAGAAAACAAATTAATTCGTAACTTTGCACCTAATAAAAAACGAATTCTGCCTAAGTTTAATTTTGCCTGTGACATGTTTATATATAGACAAAACAGATGGAATAAATCGAATCATATCATTACTTCGAGGAAGAAATCATCTGAGAAATTTCTAGCTCTATCATTACGTATGTTGAATTCGAAAAGAAGTGCTTGTTGAAATAATTGTTCAATATATTTAAACAAAGATTTCTTATAATTTGAAAATTTCATAATTTTTACAAGAACTAACTTGTGTCTTGACTAACTTTCAATATTTTTATTTCTGCATATATTCTATCTAATCATCATATTTTTAATCTAATAGATTATTTTTAAATCTCAAGAATTTCTCTTGTAAGACTACGATTGACTCTTGTAGCCATATGCCTGTAACATGATGACTAACTTTAAAAGAAAATAAATGCGAAAACTTCGGATTTGAATCCGAGTGTTATGTGTACTTCAAATAGTCAACAGGTATATTCGCTTTGTTTTTTATCATCTGAGATATATCTAGCCTATTTGATTTCTCCATGCAGTTTTTATGCCTTTTTCAGGTGATGTTTTGTTAGAAAGCCACGATTTGGTTCAAAACTAATATCAGATTCGGAATCACAGTTAAAAACTAAGTCGATTTATATATGTTGTGAATAATTCGGAAAAAAAAATTTTTTTTTTGAAAAAATCCCTGTACTCCCCCTCAGGGATGGTCTGGTCAATAATGACAATTTTTTCGATAACTCAGCCATTTCTTGACGGATCCTTCTCATCTTCGAACTCGACCGAGATCTTGTTCAGACTGAACTGTGTAGAAAATTTCATCATGATCTGACTCTCCTTTCAAAAGTTATCACGCAAACGGCCGGACACACTGACCGATTCTAGAGTGTACTCACTTTTTGAGTACACAACAATTTTCTATTTGTTGTTATATTCAATTTCATAATTAACTTACCATTATACCCAATGACCAAATATCAACTTCAGTTGAATATGGTGTTCTTGAAATAACTTCAGGACTCATCCAATAAGCTATAAAATTAAATGAAACGAAAATAATTATAAAAAAAAACGAACTTTCAAATTTCAAAATTAAAAATAAATATTCATACGTGTTCCAACTAATGATTTTCTTTTAATTGTTTGTGCTTTTTTCTCATTTATAACTTGTGCACAAAAACCAAAATCACTTAGTTTAACAAAACCATCTGTTGAAAGTAATATTGAATCACTTTTTATATCTCGATGTATAACACCATTCGAATGAAGATAAGCAAGTGCTTTAAGTACTGATTTACAAACAGTTGCAATTTGCTGTTCATTCATTCGTGTTTCACTTGTTGATGTTACAAGTAAATCAGTTAATGCACCACCATCAAGATATTCCATTACAACCCATAATTCATTATCAACTAAATATGAACCATACATTTCAACAATATTTGGATGTTTATAATCACGCATGATCATTACCTACAGTTTAAAAACAAAAAAATATAATTAATTCAAATAAAATATGAAGCCATAAATGTCAATAAAGTTTGTTTTTGATTGCACAGTTTTTTCGCATTTGATTATTGAATAGAATCGTAATAGACGGCCGATATTCATAGAGGTAATATGGATTTTATATTTGAAAGAAGGACCATTTTACTTATAGTAAATTCCTATTTCGAAAGGAATCTATTTAGTTTTCATTTCGATTGGAAATGATAAAAAGAAAAACAATAGACTTTACTATTTCGACAGAAATGAGTATGGATCATAGCTAGAGATGTGTGGAACTAAAATTTAAAAATTTGCTCGCATCAGAACTACGAGAAAAAAAAGAAGTTATTTCAACCGAAAGAGAAGATTACAGTTAAATACTCTATGGTTTTAACCCTTTACTCCCCATCAGTGACGTATCCAGGATTTTTCAGTATGCTGAATCTTGACTTTTGAGCATGGGATCCAAATGAAACTCATAGAGGGTGATGTTGAGTCCAAATGATGGAATTTTATCAACAAAAATGTGCACTCGGGGTTTGCGAAAAAAAATTAGCATTTTCCTGATTCCCCCTCCTAGGATTTTTTATTGTTAGTATTATCTTGGATTTTAGAATTTCATAGGAAGCTATACCGAATTTCATCGATAGATTTTAAATTTCGTCTAAAAATGTGCAACCGTTCAAGGGTTATGATGTTTTGAAATTTCGAAAAAATTGTTTTCACATGTGGCAAAAATTCAAAAAGTTATAACTCTTGAACGATTACATATTTTTAGACGAAATTTGAAATTTGTCGATGAAATTCTAAAAATTAAGATGCTACTAATACCAAAAAAAACCTAGGAGGGGAGATCAGAAAAATGCAAATTTTTGTTGATAAAATTTCATTATTTGGACCCAGCATCACCCTCCATGAGTTTCATCTGGGTCCCATGCTCAAAAGTCAAGATTCAGCATACTGAAAAATCCTGGATACGTCACTGAAGACATTAATATTTATGAAAATATTTTTATTTATTAGTGGAAACAAATATTTATTGAACGATATCATCTTCGATCTCGTTGGTTAAATGGACGATGTGATGTTAAAACATTTCATGGTCATGTTGAAGGTAAGATAAATTTAATCAAAACTAAAACAAACATAACGATAAGTTTATCTCAAGGAGTTTCTTGTGTTCAATTTGACAGTCAAACAATTATAAGTGGTTGTACAGATGGCACAATTAAAGTGTAAGTTTTTTTTTTTATTATTAAAAAAGAAAAAAGTTCTTTGTTTTTTTGAAGATGGAATATGAATACTACAAATGAGATTATTACATTAGTTGGTCATTCACGCAGTGTCAGATGTTTACATGTTGATGGTACAAATGAAGTTCGATTAGTCAGTGGTTCGAATGATCGTAGTATTAAAGTAAATCGGATTTAATAGAGAACAACAAAAAGTTTTTATTTTCTTTAAGATTTGGAGTATATCTATTAATCAAACATGGTCAAAATGTGCATGTAAATTAACATTACTTGGTCATACAGATACTGTTCGATGTCTTGTTGTAAATATTTATCATATGAATAATATTTTATGAATTAGAAAATTTTTCATCATTATTTAGGTTCGTGATGATATTTGTGTGAGTGGTAGTCATGATAATTCTGTTAAAGTATGGAATTTAACTAATGGATTATGTCTACGAACATTAGTGTATGTTAAGAAGATTCGTTTTGCATTTTATTAATTTGTCTGTTTTGTTTTGTTTTATAGTGATCATACAGATAAAGTACTTTGTGTGCAATTTAATTGGGATTATATTGTTTCTGGATCAACAGATAAAACAATAAAAGTATATTATTTTGAAATAAGAAAAACAAGCGACAATATGAATAATATATTGATTTTTGTTTTTGAAAAAAAAAAATTTAGATTTGGGGTTATGTAGATGGTATTTGTCTACGTACACTTTCAGCACATAATGGTTCAGTAACATGTTTATATTTTGATCAACAACAAGATTTAATTGTATCGGGTAGTCTGGATTATGATATACGTTTTTGGCATTTATCTACAGGTGAATGTTGTCAAAAAATTGATTGGATATCAAAAGAAGGTCATCGTGGTGTTATTCGAACATTAAAAGCTGATAGTTGGCGTGTTGTTAGTGGAGCTGATGATAAGACAATTAAAGTAAGAAAAAAAACAATTAAAAAAAAATTTTATCATTGTAGTTTTCAATGCATTAATTAGCTTACGGAAGAAGTCATCCGATCACTTTTCAGTCGAGATAATGTGCATTATGTAGACACAAATGAGTTATAAATATCTTGAAAAGAATTCCGGTCTTTAAATTTATTATTGCGCATATACTTCATTTTTATGATATTTTCTAAACGAATGCCGTACTAACAGAAAAATTCATTATTAGATTCTCGATTTGAAATTTTACACAGAGACAAGCCTTAATAAAAAAAAAAAAAAGATTTTTTTTGTGAAAGTTTTAAAAATCTTATCAATGTTTCTATCTTGAGTAATAGCGTGTCTTTGACACCGGTAGCTTTGATCTACTTGTTTCAGCATAGAAGTAGAGTAAAAGATCTAAATCTTTTACAGAAAACTATTCTCGTTAAGATCTATTGTTATACAAGATTTTACTTGAATATCATTTTTTATGTTAACACACCATTCATTTTGTAAAAAAAAAACCCATAAAAGTACAGTATTTACGCAACAATAAGTTAACAGAATGAATTCTTTCCAGGGTATTCATATCTCATTTGTGTTCACATAGTCTCGACTCCAAAGCGATTGAACAGTTAGAGGGCTTCCCTTGTTAGACAAAATATTAAAAAAAGAAACTCATTTTGTTTGAGTATTTGTCATGAATATCTATTTGCATGTCAAATATGCATATTAAAATTATTGATGCAAATATAAAATTTTGTGCGTCAGCCTTTTCTCAATGACATTTAGAAACAATTGTTTGGGTCAGTAACGTCTATAAAATGATTTCATTTATTGCTCTCAGTGAGATTAATTAACAAACGATAGGCATAGCGATGTGTTATAAAAACGGCTAAGCTTAATCTGCTATGATGTATAATGAAAGATAATCATGTAAAGAGGAGAATAGAAATTTTCTCGAATCTAAAGAGACAATTTTTTTCCAGAGCATACAGTACATAAATATAATTTTATTTAGACCTCTACAAAACGAGATGTTTCATAGTTCTCGGCTTGGTTTTTCTATAGGAAATAATAAAAAAAAACAACTTTAAGGACTTCCGTAAGATTGTGAAGCTTCAGCGAGAAAATGTTACAGAGAACTTCGAGATGTCTCATTTTGTAGGAAATTATTTATTCTATCTTTTCTATGTGTTAAAAAACTATCCTTTTGATTTTCTGGAATCTCCATTGTTTGCCATCTGATAATAACTTTTATTTCTTTATATTCATGTTAAAAGTAATTTTGTCTATTCGAATTTTTTAATTCTTTCTATCGCTTACGGCAGCAGAAAAATATTGACAATAAACGTCGTTGAATAATTTTGTTAGTCACTGTATCTGTCCTATATGTACTTTGGATAAACATATAAATTAAAATTTTTTCTGGGAAAATTTAATATCTTAGTTTTTTTTTTCTTTCTACAAAGATCGTCGTTTGTTATTGATGCCAGTGACTCATAGTAATGATGCTGTATACAACAAAATAACCCTTACTATTCTCTTCTTTCTGATCTACTAAACGTTTTTTTTTTCTTTTTTCTCCATCGGGTAAATATTTCATTATACACGATACTATCTCAGCGATACATACACTGCATTTTCTTCATTCAACTAGTCGATTCTATATTGATATCTGGTACTATATAAAGGCGAGACAAATTTTTACTTCTTTATTTTGAAAAACATCTATCAGCTTAAAAGATCGAGTACAGATTGAAACTAGTGCAGGGTCTAAAAGTATACCAATAGGTAATACTTGCTTGTTCTAATATCTCCCAAACTAGTTTGACTCTGGCATCTGCTGTAATTAGTGCCGGTGTGTTTTCCTTCTTTGGAAATTTCAATCGGTTTCGTATGTTCTAAAGCAGGTTGAATTTGTCGTGTATACTATTAGTTTCTCTTGTTATCTATATGTTCTCTGCTAACTTGAATGTATAATTTATTCTCTGATCGATTCTACTTGACGTAAATGATATATTAACTTGTTCCTGTAAGCATAACTTATTTATTCATTTTTATTATATTATAGGTATGGGATATACGAACAGGTGTTCGATTATGTACATTAAAAAATCATACTGATGGTGTAACATGTCTTTCGTTTAATGATTATCTTATCGTATCGGGCTCATTCGATGGCAGTGTTAAATTATGGAATTTTCGACCATAAAATTTGAAAAAAAAAAAATTGTTTTTATTTTAAAATTAATTTGAATGCGCAATTGAAATTAGTATTTTCTATTTTCTATCTGTTTTTTTTTGTGTGCGTTGTTGTTTGTTGTTGTAGCTTCTGTGGCTCTGTTTTTTTTCTTTCAGGGAATAAGGCAAGAAAAGAAAAACAAAAATGTTTATGTTTTCTTTTCAGATTTGTACTTCCTTTCATTTAATATTTTAAAAACAAATGCGTGAATACAAAATTGTTGTACTTGGTAGTGGTGGTGTTGGTAAATCAGCATTGACTGTACAGTTTGTTCAAGGATTATTTGTTGAAAAATATGATCCTACGGTTAGTTTATATTATTTTGAAAATAATAGTCTATACTTGTTTTCTTTTGTTTTTTTTTAGATTGAAGATAGTTATAGAAAACAGGTTGAAGTCGATGGACAACAATGCATGCTGTAAGTTCTTTTAATTTGTAATAGGTTTTCATTGTATTTGTTTTTTTTTTAATATCTTTCAGGGAGATTTTGGATACTGCTGGCACAGTATGTAGTTTTTTTATTGAAAAAATTATGATAGTATCATTTGTAGAAAATCTAAATAAAAATGTATCCTTTGGATTTCGTACATTCATAGTGTTATAATGAAAATAAGTTAGAGAATTGAATAGAAAATATTATTTTATTCATATCAATTAAAAAGAATAGATAACTAATTTGTTTTTGTTACATCGAATGTTTTACGAAAGAAGCGACAGGTTGAAGTGTAAATGTCAGAATCAATTTGTGTTAGTGATATAAAATAATTTGACCTACATGTGAGTGCATTTTAACTGATTCTACTCACGTGGCAACTATCTAAACTGTTATTCACCGTTTGAACTTATGTTGGATTAATAGACGATTTCGATAATGTTTGAAAGATCCTCAAAGGATTCGGTTTTAGGTATTTACTGGAAACTTAAATAAGAGACTTTCAATCTGAAATTTAGCTCATATATATGAACTTTTTTTTCGTCTTATCGAGACTTCCTTCTGGTGGGCTACATATGAAGCTCAAAGCGTAAGTAACAGTTCGAATAGTTCGTTGACCAGTGAGAAAAACTATGGTTTCAATTAATTCGATGATAATCATTAGTGAAAAAAGAATTTTATATTTAAAATAAATTTAGAAGATGTTTTTAGTAATGTCGTATCTTTTCTTTTCTACTCTCTTCTTATTTGCTTGATACTTTTCCAAACGTGTATGTTTGTGGTTTTACTCATCGGACATGCATTTCAAAGAATTATTAAATTAAATTTTATACACAAATTATCAGTATGTTTTTTTTAGAACATGCAAATATATTGCATAAAAACATATTGCAATATTACCTATAGCCACTATAGAATGGGCATAAGATTATGCTGTGATGAAAGAAAACAAAGTACTGACAAGGGAATTTCTCCAGATGTCAAATCGTTTTTCAATCGACACGATATTCATTTAGTGAATAATAGGAAAGTCTCAGATGGTTTGGTTATCTGAATCTTCGTTCTTGAGATGTCAAAATTTTATTGTGTTTTTTATTCTTCTCATCTTACATGAAAAATTAACTTCAAACTTTGCATCAATAAAGTTTTCAACGAGATTAATTCATTCGAAAAGTTCTTACTTTTCTGGTATTCCCGATCCTGAGATATTCAATATTCGAAATTTTCTCAAATGTAAAAATATATTTACATGTTCAGAAAGGAAATACTACGAACTTGCACCATAAACTAATCTCATTGAGAATTTTTGTTCGTGTAAAATTTGAAGGCAAAAACTGATTTCCCACAGGACATGAGGGAAACGAAAAAAAAAACAGTGAACTTTCGATATTTCAAGAATGAAGAATCAAAAAATGAAATCATTCTAGATATCATTATCTCGATTAAAAAGGAATTTAATATTTGAAGAAGTAACGATCTTTATTTATTATTCTATAGGAACAATTTACAGCTATGCGTGATTTGTATATGAAGAATGGTCAAGGTTTTGTTCTTGTTTATTCGATAACAGCTCAATCAACATATAATGATCTTGTTGATTTACGTGACACTATTCTCAAAGTGAAAGATACAACTGATGTAAGAATATTTATTATTCTCTAAGTTATTGATAATTATTTGTTTTTTGTTTTCTATCAATTTTAGGTACCAATGGTTCTCGTAGGAAATAAATGTGATCTTGAAGATGAACGTGTTGTTGGAAAAGAAGTTGGTCAAACATTAGCACGTAATTGGGGTTCAACATTTCTTGAAACATCAGCTAAACAAAAAATCAATGTTAATGAGGTTAGTTTGTTGTTTGTTTTTGTTTTCTAATCAATATAAAAACTTATTTCTATGTATTCTCATTTTAATTAATGTAAAACACAAAAAAAGATATCGAACCTAAATAATATTTAGATTTTTTTTGATCTCGTACGTCAAATAAACAAACGAACACCGGTTAATAAAGATAAAAAAAATAAAGGTAAAAATAGTGGTCAAATGGCAAATACACATATACCATCATCAAGTGGTAAGACTGGTTTTGATAGTTTACAAACAGATCAAACAGCTAATAATCAACGAGATAAACAAAACTGTTGTGTACTTTTATAGATATATTTGTTTGTTTTCACTTTTCGTTTTCTTATGGCAATCATATGCATGCGTTACACAATGGTTTTTTTTTTTTCTTCTTTTGTTCTCCTCTTTCGGGCTTCTTTATATATATATATCTATCTATCTATTGAGCACAGAGATATGCTTTTAAGGGAGTATGGTGTTGGTTTCTTTCCTTTTTTTTCCTTCTTTCTTTATGTTTATTTTGTATCTAGTCAACAAAAAAGAAAAATAGAGAATATTTTGTTTAGATCTTTTTCGATCTGGTTCGTCGAATAAAACGAACTGAAGTAAACATACCAAAGGTAGCAAATGAAAAACATCATTCTAAAAAACATTCATATGATTTAAATGCTGCTAGTTTTTCTAATGAAACACCGCTTGCTAATAATCATGTAATTGAAAAGAAAAAAAAGAAAAAATTTCGTAAATGTAAAATTATGTAAAAAAAAATTAAAAGAATGAAACAAATCAAATAACAAAAACAGATCGAATTTTTAAATCAGTATTAGTCTGTTTATCTTATATCTTATTCTATTCAACCGCTCTGTAATTCTTGTGAATGATTTTTTTTTCTTTTTGTTTGTTTATTTCGACTTTGTGACTATCATCGCTGCAATGCATATAATCTATCTAATCGTTATGTTTTTTTTTTCTTCTTCTTTATGTATGTAGATAAATGAAAAAGAAACACAAAAAAGAAATAATTTCATGATTTATTATGTACGATTTTTCATATAACAACTTGCCCTGTATGTGTGTGCGTGCGTGTGTGTGTGTGCATGTTAAATAAAATTCAACTTTAAGTATCCGTTGTTGTATCACCCGATATTAAACCAATTAAAGCATCAGCACGAAGTAATTTCGAATAAGGTAATGGATGACATTCATCGGAAAACATTATTCGAATAGATCTTGGTGAATTCGCATCCATTGAACATTTATCAGTTCTATCTAATGGTGAAACATACATAAATGTTTCATGTTTGTCACAAGGTATTGTATTTGATATATTGCCATTGATACTTATTGAAAATATTCGTTTGAAATAATTATCATGATCAAGCATATGATGAAGATGAGCTTTACTAGGTTTTAAATTCCAACAGAATGCAACTGGTGTATGTTGTTTGTTAAAGAAATTTTCAATTGTTGTTTTATGTAAACGAAAATAAATAAATTCACGTACAGTACCATTGTATATAAGAGCAAAACCGAAATATTTCGGAAAATAGAGATGAGAATTCCTAAACAAATAATTAACTATAGGTTATCGTTCTAGTTAAAATAACTCATTGACGTGAAAGTCTTTACAAAAATTTTTTCGAATAACTTCACGACAATTCATTAGAGCCAAAAGCAGTTTGTTATTATCAGAGTTCTTATTCTCTTTTTGAAGATGTGCTCAGAATTTACTTCTAAGAGTTAATATTGGATAAATATCATCAAATTACTTCAAAAGACTGATCGTATAGAATACAATTTTGAACTTCGATTGAAAGCTATCAAATTCAAAATATGAAATAATTTTTAATAGCTCGGTTTTGATTGCGTGACATTTACTTTCGCATGACAGATTTTATAACTTCTGTATTCTTAAATCAGTAATTTCTTGACAAATGTCTATTTCCATATAAATTAGCTGTTTAGTGAAATAATACTGAGTTCAAACTAATTTAATAAATATATTAGTAATTCAATGAAATGATCATATATCTATAAGAACGTGAGATATCTATTTGGATGACTAATTTTGGTAGATTATCATGGAAAACTTGCTTTAGTTTGTTTGTCTAATTAAGAAACGTTCTTAGGTGTTCGTTTCCTTTTGAGCTGATATTGTGCCCATGGGCGTTCCTTGCCAAGGTTTGAGTTCTATGAGAGTTTTCCATGCACGTGAAAGTAATAGCAAATGATTTTAGGGTCATTATTAAAAGGTAGGATACTGTAAATCTTTTTTTTTTATTTTCATATGAAGTCGAGTGTATACTATTCAGCAGTACGATAAATACTTGTATTCAACATGAAAAAATTTCAAGAAGTTTTGAGATTTATCATCGACGAACTTCTTAAGGTTACATTATTAGATCTCTCTTTTAATAGTCATCAAAATTGCTGTTACTTTCACTTGCATGGAAAATATTCGAAAAAATCAAAATTTAGGAAGGACACAAATCTTTTGGAAGCTTTTTAGAGTTCATCATCACTTACCGGTAGGCAAAATATCAGCTCAAAATTGATTTATCTCTCATAATTTATCAAAGTATTTTATTTAACTAATTTAATTATTATAGTACAAAGAAATGAATGCATTTTGAAATAAATGCGAAAACATCGGATTTAAATCCGAGTGTTATGTGTACTTCAAAAAGTGAAGAGGTATATTCACTTTGTTTTTTATCAACTGAGACATATCTAGGCAATTTGCTTTCTGCATGCAGTTTTTTGTGCATTTTGAGACCTTTTTCAGGCGATGTTTTGTTAGAAAGCTACGATTTGGTTCAAAACTAATATCAGATTCGGAATCAGCGTTAAAAACTGAGTCGATTTATATATGTTGTGAATAATTATGAGAAAAAATTTTTTTTTTGAAAAAATCCCTGTACCCCTCCTCAGGGATGGTCCGGCCAATAATGACAATTTTTTCGATAACTCAGCCATTTCTTGGCGGATCCTTCTCATCTTCGAACTTGACCGAGACATTGTTAAGACTGAACTGTGTAGAAAAATTCATCGCGATTGAACTCTCCTTTCAAAAGTTATCGTGTAAACGGCCGGCCGGACATACTGATCGATTCTAGAGTGTACTCACTTTTTGAGTACACAAAAATAACGACTATAGGAAAATAAGATAACCGATAAAAATTGAAAAAAAGTTTTCTACATATTTCAAAATCGTTCATTTTATTTCAACAACAATACTTTTTATTCTCGATTTTTATTTTTCCACTAGATTTCATATGAAAAATACAAATTGTAATGCATAAGATATCTAACTTACTTGTATAAAGTCTTTGCACATCATACGCGATCAGTTTTCATCTACTTGTAAGTCACTAGTCACTATAAAAAAGTCAGTTCATTGAGAGCAAATATCTGTCAGACGAAAATTGATTAGACATGTTGTGCAAAGACTTTTCACATGAATTATATGTTTTTTTTTTCTTCTCACTAGACTTGATATTAAAAACCAGGTCGTTTCTAAAATAAAACTACCTACGTCAAGTCAAAAACAGACCTCATTTGACCATCTCTATTGACATAAATACTTATCATTAACAGAAGCGCAACTATGCGAGGCATGTCATGTCTTCTGCTTTTGAAATTTTCATATGCAGCACACATGTTTTTGACACGCATCTCTGCGGTGGCGGATCCAGGG